ACCCAGGTCAAATGAGATATTTTAATACTAATGTGTTTGGAACAAGAGAGAGAGAGAGAGAGAGCCGGGCAGAATGAAGCACATCTGTGATCCTGTCACTCAGGTCTAGGCAGGCAGTCTTTGAGCCAGCCTGGTGTACATTGTGAGTTCCAGGACAGCCAGGGCTACGTAGTAAGACCCCGACTCTAAATAAATAAGCAGATGTTTATTAGGATGCTGTTCTAGAGACAGGAGTGTGTAATATTCTGATAATATAGTCCATCTTTTGGGAGCCCCCTTTAGAATGGACGTGGTTACTGTGCTTTTCTGACTGGGATACTATTAGCCCCTGGCTTTAGTTTCTCATTCAAGGGCCCTGAGGGAAGAAGTGGGCTGTTTCAGCTGGTGTTGACTACATGCACTGACCTGGATGGTTGGCGCTATCTTACATATGAAAGGTTGTAGACTTTAGTATTCATGTAACATGGCGTATTATCTAACAAAGAAGGACTATATGCATTAGTTATCTTTTTCTCATTGCTGCAATATGTTTTCTGAAAGAAGCAACATTAAGGAGCAAAGTTGATTTGGTGGGGATACAGTCTGTTATGACAAAAAGCCAGGCATCATGGTGGTCGAGCATGGCATCCTGTGGTTCCATAGTCTAAGAATATTCAAAGGAACAGGAAGCAGAGACCAGACAGAAGTTTAAAGGTATATAGCACCTCAGTAGGCACCCTAGTGACCCATTGGCTCCAGGGCGGGGCTACCTTCTAAAGGTTTCCACCATGTATCTCAGTACTGTCACCATCTACAAATCAAGGGTTCAGACACATGACCCTGTGGGGGCATTTCCTATTCCAGCCATAGCACTGTGTGTGCCTGAGACTGGAGAACAGTGTAAAAATGCATCCCATTTAGTATCATTATCCCAGAGAGGTAAGCTTGGGCAGTCAGCTTCACCTGTGTGACAGTGTTTGGGTGTAAGGGAGTTCTTGAAATTTTAAAAAAGCTTTGAAGTTAGAAGAAAAAAGGAATAATTTATGATAGAAATTATACTAGGGTTTATTGTGCTGAGAATGAGAGACTTCCATTTTGAACTGGGTGTGGGTCAGATAGGTGTGTTCACTTATAAAGTCCATCTGGTTAGGTGCTTATAGTTTGTACAGTTTTGTGATTATGTCAATTAAAAGTTTAAAAAAATTATAGTACAACAATATAATGGAGCACTATATATTTTAAAATATTTTCTTAAATTACATAATATGTAAAGAAAGCCAGGGAAGAAATGAAAATTCCCACTATTACATAATGTAAAAAATACACAGTACATATATGTAAATGTAAAACATTACAATATCAACAGATACTAAGAAAACTAGATTTAAAACCTTATTATAGCAATATTTATATGTTATGTCGAGATGAGACTTGTGGGTTTGGTGTAGGTGTTTGGCGCTGTGTGTGTGTGTGTCGCGTGTGCGTATTGGAAGAACAAACAATTGATTTTGATTTTGTTTCCTCTGTTTAGGGAGTCAATAGAAGACGTTGAACAAAGTTGTTACAGATCAGAAGCACAAAACAGTGAAAGAGAGGAGGGGAAACCATTTTTTAAAAATGGAGAGGGCAAGTTCAGTTAGAGGATTGTAGTATTATCAGTGGGAAAAATAAAGCTGCGAGGAAGGGGTTTTACTAACAAAAGTTGTTAAAACCATTATGTAGTGGTCGAGCCGATCAAAAAAATCCTCTTCTAAAAAAAAAAAAAAAAAAATCCTCTTCTTCACCGAGCCTCTCAGAGGTTTTCTTATTAAAAATAATTCACAGTTAACGCTTCAGTTTTATTGGTTTTGTTCAAGAATTTAATTTTAATGAACTGTGTCATTGATATAGTGGCCTTAGTTTGCTGTAGCAGATGCAACCCACACTTTAATTTCTAGCCTCCACCGATGAACCTTTGCAGTAATGTACTCAGCGTTGTGTTCAGCTTTGGTGAGGGCAAATAACACACCTCACTTGGGTTTAGAATCAAATTGGGGTGACCAGCGAGAATACTTTAACAGAATTAAACACTACCCCATTGTAAACTACATGATTTTTCTTGTTTTTCCTTCTTTCCACAGTCCTTTGTGGAGGGCACTTATTTTGTGATGGAATTTATTTTACTTATTGAGTTCATAAGTTGAGTTTTATGAAAGATGCATTTTTTCCACTGACGTTCTACAAAGGTTGGGTTTAATGTTTTTGAGGTGTGGTTATGATTGCAGCACGCCCTTAATATTTTATTTGAACGATTAATATAGCTTTTTATATTAAGTTGACATGCAAGTGCTTTTATTTTCACTATTGAGCTGTCAGAGGAGTTACCGGCGTTTCCCCCATTCCAGTCGCTGTCGTTATTCCACCACGCTTATTTAAAATAACGAGCCGAATCAGATTTCTGCAGGGGCTTCACAAGGGCTGGCTTTTGAGTAGCCTTTAGTGTAACAGCCTGGCTGAATGAGCCGGATTGCTGTGAGTGTGCTCCGTGGCACTAGGACCCAGGGGGCTCCCGTGAGCGGATCTTGGGGCCAGATTGCAAATTCGCGGTGACTCAGTCTGGTCGGCTCCTGGCGCTCGAGGCGGCCGCGGCGGCACAGGCACAGCGGACGTTGGCGCGGAGCTGCGGAGCGGTCCAGCCGGGCTTCGGGTCCGAGCCTCGGTTGGGGCCGCTGGCCCCAAGATCCGCTCACGGGAGCCCCCTGGGTCCTAGTGCCAC